ACAGGTGGCCCCATGCCATTGGTAGGAATGTAAACTAGTTTGGCTACTATGGAAATCAGTATGGAGGCTCCTCAAAAAACTAAAAAGAGAACTATAATATGATCCTCCCATGCCATACCACTCCTGGTTATATATCTGAAGGGATGTAAGTCAGCACGCTATAGAGATATCAGCTCACCCATGTTTACAGCGGCACTATTTACAATAGCCAAGCTATGGAATCAGCCTAGGTGCCCCTCAACCAAGGAATGGATAAAGAAAATGTGGAGTATATACACTGTGGAGTATTAGTCAACCATAAAGAAGAATGAAATTATGTCGTTTGCAGGAAAATAGATGGAACTGGAGCTCATCATGTTAAGTGAGCAAAATAAGCCAGACTCAGATAAATACTGCATGTTTTCTTTCATAAGTGGAAGTGAAATCTAAAAGTAACACAGGACATCAATGTAAAAGTGGAAATACTGGAGGGACCAGCAAGAGATGGGGGAGGCAGGCAAAGGGAGAAATACGATTGAAGTATGTTCTATGTTTGAAAAAGTCATAAGGAAACACACTTAAACCACTTGCAAGAAGACAAGGAAAAAGGGAAGGGTAGGAGGAGGGGCATCAGCAGGAGTGATAGAGGACGTGAATTTGATCGAAGTACATTATATGCATGTATGGAAACGTCGCAATGATGCCCCTTTGTACAATTCATATATACTCATTTTTTAAAAAGAAAAAAAAAACAAAGACCAAATCAAGGCAGGTAGAAAGGGCACTCTGGCTGGGCACAGCCACTCCACCTGCCCACACGCAAGTCCATGTTACTCTGCACCCTTCCTGGGTAGAAGCAGACTTAGCCTGGTTGTTGGGATCCCCTGTGACAGTGCTGCCTAGGCAGGTGACTCCTTAGACTAGGTCTTCCCACAGGGTGCTACAAGGAACACGTTTTGTCCTATGGGATGTCTATAGGGAGTAAAAGAGAATTGGAAGAACAGTGCATGGATCTAAACCAAGTATAGCACACAGTAAAGGCTCTGAGAAGTACTGCCATAAAGAAACCTGTTTCAATTTTGCAAGTTGAATTTATGCTGAGGTCAACCTGTTCAATTAAGATCGAAATATAATTGGTTCAAGTCCTCAAACTGTAGGTTCTTTGGAAACCCTGGTGCCCTGAGATTGCCTCTGGCAACGTCCAGAGGATTTGTGTTCTTATGGTCACTCTGGCTCTGAATTCAGTCTCCCCCTGAATTCTCCACCTTGTCCACAGCACACCTCCTCCCACTTTGCCTTGCTGCCGCTCTGTGCTGACTGAGATGTGGACTTCAAGCCCCTTTTCCTAATCTTCCCTTCCCCAAAGCACCTCACAAGGTGCGTGCTCCCTGGCTTTCCTGTGGTCTGTGGTGACAGAAGTCTTTCCTATCCTCACAGTTTTAAGCCTCTTCCCGCTTAAAACTTTCTTCTTGTCTCCTAGTCCCCTCTGCCCTGCTCCAACTCCACTCTCCTCACTGTTGTACCAAACAGCATCACTTCCCCTCCTTCATTGGTCTCAGACCAAAGCCTCATAGACAGGTGACTGCACAATGTATCATTCAAGCCATGACACTCTTTTTTTTTTTTTTTTTTTTTTTAAAGAGTAACCTGTTTTAAGTTTATTTGATGGAATTTTTTTTAAGGTGGTAAATTTTATTTTATTTTATTTTTTATTTTTTTCATTTTTCTTTTATTATTCATATGTGCATACAAGGATTGGTTCATTTCTCCCCACTGCCCCCACCCCCTCCCTTACCACCCACTCCGCCCCCTCCCTCTCCCCCCCCTCAATACGCAGCAGAAACTATTTTGCCCTTATTTCTAATTTTGTTGTAGAGAGAGTATAAGCAATAATAGGAAGGAACAAGGGGTTTTGCTGGTTGAGATAAGGATAGCTATACAGGGCATTGACTCACATTGATTTCCTGTGCGTGGGTGTTACCTTCTAGGTTAATTCTTTTTGATCTCACCTTTTCTCTAGTACCTGTTCCCCTTTTCCTATTGGCCTCAGTTGCTTTAAGGTATCTGCTTTAGTTTCTCTGCATTAAGGGCAACAAATGCTAGCTAGTTTTTTAGGTGTCTTACCTATCCTCACCCCTCCCTTGTGTGCTCTCGCTTTTATCATGTGCTCAAAGTCCAATCCCCTTGTTGTGTTTGCCCTTGATCTAATGTCCGCATATGAGGGAGAACATACGATGTTTGGTCTTTTGGGCCAGGCTAACCTCACTCAGAATGATGTTCTCCAATTCCATCCATTTACCAGCGAATGATAACATTTCGTTCTTCTTCAAAGCCATGACACTCTTGACAGTTAAGTGGCCGAATGATAACTTTGCTGGGTCAACAGGAAGTCCCATGCAGACCAAGTCACATGCTCCACCTCCGTCTCTGCTTAAAACCGTGGCTGCCTGTCCTGCACTTGCCTGTTTCCAACACAGGAAAGGCACAGAGTCTTGGATGCAGTAGTGTGTCCTGACTACATTTCTCTACAGCGTCCTCTCCAGGCCTGTGGGTGGCATGGAGTCCTTCAGCAAGTGCCACAGCCTCAGAAGACAGGAGTGGCTGCCATAAGACTGGTTTTTAATGAAAAAAGAAATCTTTGTCTATGTTACTCTTTGCTTAGGCATCCTTTCATGACATGTTTTGACCACAAACTCCTTGACCTTCTCCATCCCACACTCATTAACCTCTCTCATGACCAGAATGCACTGCAGGGAACCTGGCACTGGGACGTAGCAAGCAAGGGTCGTCCCCTCGCCACAGAGATGGCTTTGGATGATGGTGATGACAGGGTAAGTGGAAGGACAAGGACTCACGCTCTGGGCAGAGTCCCCTGCAAATGAGGGCGATGTCTGGGAGATGAAGAGAGGGTACAGATGGAGCCTGCAGCGTGGCAGGCAGGCAGGGGCATTCACTAGAGGCAGCTTTGTGGGGACAGCATGGAGGACACGCTGTCTTGGAGTGCAAATCCCAAACTGAGGCACTGAGTTGATGAGAATCTTTAGAAATCCCTGGAGGGCGGAAGGTGCTCAACGTGTCCAGCCAGATCTTCCAGGGCCCTATGTGCTGAGGAATGCGGGTCCCCACACTACCTCTTCTCTCTGGTCCCTCCGGCCTGGGGCCAAGCCCACTCTTGGGCCTAAACAGATGCAGTCATTGAGGGGCCTAAGAACTGACAGATGGGTCCCCTCTTTCTGTTGTCATCTCCCATCATTTCCACCCAGTCCCCACAACCAGGTCACGGGAGTTGCTAGTGCAGCAGTTACCCAACAGAAGATGTGAATGGCTGGTCCCTCCATGTTGGTCTTGGTGAGGATGCTGGGTTCCTGCAGGCCTTGCCTTTCACCACAGTGGCTGTCACTGCTTCTTGGAGAAGTGGGGTCTTCAGAGCCAAACTCAGAGGCACTGAGACCTCCTGCCTTTTCGGACTTGAGCAGCCTCCCCAGCTCCCCTTTCTTCAGTCCTGCTTGGGAGCCGGGCTCGGTCCTTTTCCACTGCCCCCCTCTAGTAGAGTCCCTGGGGTCTCTGCCACCCACAGAGCCCAGAGACTGACTTCAACACGGGTCTCTCTCCTCTACCTTGAGTTCTGCCATCTAGCTGCCTCCAGAGAAACACAAAAGTCCTCTGCTCTTGTGGGTTTAACTGTGGGGCATTACAGTGTTTGGACATTAGCACCACTTTCTCTGTTTCCAGTAATCAATTTTCAACATAGAAGCCAGAAATTTTTTTTTTTAACTTAAGTCAGATCATGCTCAAAATTTTCCAAAGTTTCCAAGTTCCCCTCAAGTAATAGTCAAGAACTCTGACCCATAGCAGCCCCAGAAACTTCACTCTAGACACTCACCTCCTTGCTTTTCTTCAACCATGGCAGGTCCACTTCTACCTCAGGACCTCTGCATATGCTGTTCCTTCTGCCTGAAATGCTCTTCTGCCATTTATCCTCAGGTCCCATGTTCTTACTTCTTTAAGGTCAAAGGTCAGTGAGGCCTTCCTTGACCCCCCCCAATACAAAATGGCCATTCCCCTGGGCATCCCCCACCTTACTGAATTTTCCTTTATTTTCCCCATAGCATTCTGGGGAAAATAATCCCACCATCTGGCATTCTGGGTGTTTGCTTAATTGTCCATTCTAGAAGGTAAGCTCTGGGAGCACAAGGTTTGGTCTGCTGGGTTCACTGCTGTATTTCCAGAACATGACCATGCTTAATAAACATTTGTGAAAGGAGGAAAAAGGAATAAATTAAGTGAAAAATTCCAGACATCTACTAAAGTTCCCATGGCAGCTGTCTGTGGTCACTGGTCACATGAGCCCACTTCCCACTAAGGTTCTTTCCTAGCTGATGCATTCTTCTTCGGGGATCCCCAAGTGCCTCACTAAGAAGCAGCCCCACCCCACCCCAACACATGCACACCAGGCATCTTGTCCAGCAATTCTACTGACCAGACAAATGAGGAATGAGCGTGGCTCTTAAATCAGCTCCTACCGGTGTCATTTCCCGACAGGGCAGAATCAGAGATGCAAGACCCAGCAGCCTTGAGTGTTGTGATTCACACTCCTGAGTACTTGCCTCAGGAGGGGCAAGAGCAAGAGAGGCCCCTGCCAGCTGTCTACCTTAGGAACCCGCTCCTGGACTCTCCTCTGTCACTCCTTTGCATTAAAACTGTACTATTTGTTTGATTCCAACAAATTAGAAGAAACAACCAGCTATGTACTCCATCAGAATGGCTTATGCATTTTTAAAACACACACATGTGCACAGACATGGAAAGAAAGAGCCTGTCGCATCCCATCAGGCCCAGATCTGCCTCCCCGTGCTGAGTGACCCCAGGCCCCCATCAGTGGAATATGATGGATGTGTACTCCACTTGGTCTGGTGATGGCCTCCATCTGGGGCGATCAAAACAGGGCACGTTGGCATAGACAGCAAACTCATCTTCCTTCCAGGGGACCGGGTTGATCATGTTGGAGTACATAGCCTCGGCTGGGCAGGAAAGGTCCTTTAGAGACAGAACCCTGGTTAGAGGCAGGTGGCTGGGCAGCAGGGACTTCCAAACACAAAATGAGGTGCTGGCTATCGGTACAGGACAGTAACTAGAGCCCTGGGTTCCTGCTGACCAGGCCTGAATCTCTCCATTCTCAAAAACCTTCCTTTCTGATCAGCTCCTCACCTGATCCCACCTCCCTCTGTCTGGTAAGACATTCTGTAGAGATGGCCAGGAGCCCTCCTTACCGAGGAGTTGTGGAGAAAATTGGTCTGATGTCTCAGTTGTTTCTTAAACAGTCCTAGAAAATTAATAAACTCAAAGTCAGCCTGACCTGGGGGAGCAACCATCATCTTTACTTTGTTCATTGCTAGACTTAGATCTCAATGTTGAATGCAAAGAACAACACCAACCAATTGCGCTTCTGAGACTAAGTTAAATTCCCAAGAAGACACAGGGGGAGTGAGTACACTTTGTAATTTTGTTATTCTTTAGATGAGATTACTTGGTATCAATATTTCTTTTAATTGATGCTTATAATCTGTAGGTATACATACAAATGGCTTTTGTATGGCTTTCAGTACGAAGAATGTATGCAGTGAATAAATCTTGTTGCTAGTACAGAATTCCTGTCAACTCCAGAGAAGAGGTCCACAACCTCTCCACTCCCCTCTCCCCCGGGGCTGCCCCATAGGAAACACACCCGCCCCCCCCATCTCTGCCCATCCCCACTTCCAGGGCCAGCTGTTCAACTCACTCTCGTGCCTCCATTTCTTCAAGGTCACAGACAAGAGACCCACTAGGAGCAAGATGAAGACCACAATGCCAATGGAACCAGAAAGGGCCATGGTTGCTGCGCCTAAGCTGAGGGGAACAACCAAGAGAAAGGAGGATAACCCAGGTGCCCTGGCCAGTTCTGTGATCCAGGCACTTCTGTGGCCTCCTGCGCTGGGCAAGCTCTCCCACCCCTGAGCATCCACTTCCCCAATGGCCAACTGCCTCCACTTGGAGCCTCTGTCCCCTGTCCCCCTCCCTAGCTGGGGCCATACTCATAGACCCCTTCTCCTCCTCCCTGGGCCCTGCCCATCTCTCACCCACTGCTGAGCCCTTCAGAATTAGTCTCTGGCTCCAGGATGGTGACATTCTCTGAAGAAAGGTTAAGAGAGGAAAAGGAGAGTTGAATAATTCTTACATACATGCAAATTAACTCTACAGGACCCTAAATGCTATTATTAACTTCTATTTATTGGCAACTTAATGTATGCTGAGTACATTCATTATTTCGTTTAACCTTCATGAATAGACATGAGATAGGAAAAGTCATTATTCCCATTTACAGGAAAGAAACCTGCTCCCAGGAAGCAGATCTGGTCATGGTCACAGGGCTGGTAAGAGGCAGACTTTAAATTGTGTGTCCAAACACATGACATACTGCTGCCTCTGTGTGGTCATTTCACTTCTGATCTCTGACTGAATATGATTTAAGATGTCCAGAAACAAGACCACCAGGAGACCACAGGATGGTGCAACTGCGAGGTGGTGGGGAGGGTGAGTGGAGGGGCTGAGAAGGATCAGGACAACTGCCCACGTTTGGGTGAGGAAAGGCAGAATTACTTTCACTATGGAAGAATTTCTCCTGCTTCAAAGAATGGAGACCCCCAAGCCCATCCCTTCTTAGCTATAGTGAGTCTCTGGATTCTCAGAGTTGGAAGAAATCTTCAAGCCCTCAGAATACACAGGGCCAAACTTCAGAGGAAGGCAGCAGCTAGGACTTGAGTGCACGTGCTTTTACCAAACTTAAAGTTCTCTTTCCCTGTCCTCGGGCCCTCCTTCTTTCTTCCTCCATAAAGTGGAGCTGTGTGATCCTTCTCTCCAAGCAGGTGGCACCTCTCTGTCCCACATGTCCTGAGGTTATGACTAGATATTTGAAGTGTCTCCCCAAAAGCTCATGTGTTGAAGGCACTGTAGCAGGGAGGAAGATCAGAAGAAAACAGTCTAGGCCTGAGTCCTGAGAAAGTAGCAGGGAAGTAGGAATGGCATAGCAGAGAGATAAAACCTGAGAAATCTGAACATGAGGAAGGTCAGTCACATAGCACCAGGGAGGGGAAAGTCACATAGCACTAGGGTAAAGTAACCAATAAAATTAAATATAACCTTATATGGATTAGATGTTGCTTTTTGCTTCTGTAACCTGCTTGCATATAAGGTGAGACCCCTTTGTTCTCAGGGCTCAGCCTTTGGACATGAGTCCACTGAGTCTGTGCTAGCACAATAAAACATTGCTTCCTGTTAATTGCCTCAAGAATCCCGTATCTCAGCTAGCAACCTCCTGCAACATTTCTTGGGGACTCATCCAGGATTGTGGAGAGTTATCACCTCCTTTGTCACCAGGGTGCGTCCCCTCCCAGACCACCAGGAGGATCCCACCAGGTGCCAATGGACACTTTGATCTGGAGGGGGGCCTCGGATGCACAACAGAACCCAGTGAAGTGCAGGAACCAGCAAAGGGAGGGGAACACCTCTCATCAGACTGATAAGAACCCAGGTTCAAATTCAGACCTGCCCCAAGAGGCAGAAGGGGAGCCTGATCACCTCCCAATGGGACATCCTAGTAACCACCAGTTTTTGGTTGAAACCATGTCTCTCAGGTTCAGGGAGCAGTACTGAAGTACAGTGCTGTATGAGAGTATGTGAAAATATGAGCTGAGACACAGGCTGTGAAGCGAATAAGGAGTTCCCTCCCACTCTGTGTCTGGCAGTCTAGTAATGGGAGGAGATATGTGGAAATCAGAGTAAAAGCACTCTCCTGGAGTATATGATTAATAACTTTAAAAAGGGATTTAATGGAGACTATGGAGTTAACTCCTAACAAGATAGAGGTACTTTGTGAAGTAGATTGGTCTGCTTTTGGTGTAGGATCGCCTCTGGAATGGTCACTAGATAAAACTGTGGTTAATGAAGTTTACCAAGTAATTGTAAAAAACAAAACAAAACAAAAAAACTAACACCCAAGAGAATGGGAAAAGCCAAGAGGCTAAAGTTGGTCTTCAAAAACGAGATTTTGTTGTTTATTTAAATTCAGGCAGCAATTTAATGGGCATCCTAAAGGAGGACTGAGGCTCAGCACTAACTGAGCTCTTACAAAAATTAACACATGAAGGATGGACTTCCACTGATACATAAGATCTGGTCAGACTTGAGAGAAAAGGAATGCTGCAGAAGGTTTGTGAATGTAGAGAGGGAGAAATGGAGAATTGGAAACAAAACTGGGATGAGGTCTTCATGGATGGAGTGAAGAGAGAGACAGGGGAAAAAGAGAGAGAAAGGAGAGAAAAAGAGAGGGAAAAGAGAGAGGAAAAAATAAAATGTCATGAAATGTTTAGAGACAGAAAAGGGTAAAAGGTTTAATATACTCCTTCCATTGAATTTTTATGTCTTAAAAATAAAAAGTAAATAAAAAACAATTTAGGATTACTAAAATATGCCAAAAATACTAAACTTGCTGGCACCTTTACTTCTAGGGAACATAAACAGGGAGAACCTACCTAAAAGGGTAAAAAGAAAAGGAGCAACTTTGACTGTTACTGATAAGAAAAACTGTTCCAAAAGGTTGGTGCAGTAAGCTTGGTCTGTTATTGAGACAGTCATGAGATGCTTATGTTTCCCTTGCTAATGGCTGGTCAGATTATGCATCCATCTAATGTGTGCTCACAGTATGTGTGTATGTGTGAGCATCTTCAAAATGGTTTTTAAAATGCTGCTATAAGGTTAATAGGATACTCAAGGTAACAAAAAGCCAGGGTATTTATTTTAAAGATCTCTGTTATAAACCACTTAGGCTTTTACACATAAATATATAAACATCTTTAGAACAGTTCTTTATTAAAAAGTCAATGTAAAATTATTACTCTGTTCTACTGCTACTTTTAAGAAAACAGGTTATGAAACTTATGTCAATCAGGTCTCACTAAGATGCAAGCATTCAGGGGGTTAACACTCCAGCTCAGACCAGAGGAGAAGAAAAAAAAAAAAAGAAAAAAGGGGGACCACGGTCTGCAGCAAAAATCTTGGAATTTGGGTAGTTAAAGAAATGACCTTTGCATGTTTCATTATGCCATAAATACAATCTGGAATTAAATTCTCTCTTAGAATACATGGGTCTATTAACAAATGGACTTTCTATAAATTGTTTTTATACAAAAAAATAATTTTAAGGTTGCTTTCTTTCTGTTTTTTTCCCCATACAAATATAAGATTCTAGGTTAAAAGGTTTTATAAATTAATTTCAACAAGCAACATGATGTTAAAGATATGATTTTTATAAATAAAAGAATAAAAAAATACTTTTGGATAAAAAAAGGGGGATAAATACAAGCTCCCCCAGGGGATACAAAATAAGTTGTCATAAAGATACAGAGTAAGTTGTTATAAAAGATGAAGCTTATAGATGCTTATGTAAGTGATTAACTAAAATCTAGTTGCATTAAGGTTTTTGTAAGGCTTTTTATGAGCTTAATTCTCTAAGCTCATAACAACAGGGCTATCTTTAAAATATTGTGTTGTTCTTGATAACATTTACAAAAAAATTGTCTTAAAATGATTTTTGTTTTATCAAAACAAAAATTTTTGATGCAACAGATCCACAAATTTGTCAAGACAGTAAGTTTATTAAAACACAGAGAAACAAGAGGCAGCCAAGTACAGGGAGTGCTGCTGCACTGATATAAGAGTTATGACAAATTTACTTATGTAAAGCCAAAGTGCACCCTCCAGATAGGATTAAAAAAAAAACCTCAAAAAGGAGCACTACACTGGAAGTCAAGGCCTCCAGTTTTTACTGGACTCAACAGAGTGGAGATGTTAGTCCTACTCCTTCCACATGTTGGATGGAGGGAATTTTGGGCCTGGGATGTACAGATTGGGCCTGTTATTTTAGGGGGGCTCCATGGACTACAGGTTGGTGGGATCTTGCTGTATGTCATGAGCCATTTGTTAATATCAACAATCTCGGATGTGATCCCTTATCAACATCTGAGCCATGATTCTTGGCCACAATGTTTCCTAACTCCACACTTAGTCCCTATGTTCTCTAGTGATTTTTGTTGGGGTTTTAACTACTAAGGTAACTGAGTCATGTTCATTTGGGAGTCGGTTTATGGAGGGGTTAACAATAAAGACAGCCATGTCAGGCCTAGACCTCCTCCCCCTTGCAGATGGCTTACCTTTATCTCCCTGGATAGATACCAAGGACAGTTGGGCAGACAGTGACCTAACTACAAATTATCTTTCTTGGTTGCCCAGCAACAATATCCCTTAGTGACCTTCCTGGTACTTTCCCACTAGCCCCCTATATCTAGCCCAAGCCTGTGTATGGCAATGAGCTCTAGCTCTCTTGCTGGGGTCTCCCTCACAGGGTTCCTGCCTAAACAATAAACCCTGTACTAGTGTTTGAGCCATCTCTCTGCCTTTTCCATGCCTCTTACTTTCTAACAGTTTATATAAAGTTTTCTAGATGATCTCATGGTTAAACAACTGTTGTCTTGAGAGATTCTAATACAGTTGGTACCCTATATGTGTCTGTGACTGGGTTATCTGGGGTCACTAACACTGTTCCACCGCCCCCCACCCCCAATGATGAAAAAAATCTAAGGTTTTACTTCAACTAAACTAATATGTATATACAACCTCTATAAAAGCTGTAATGCTGTTGCTGGTTCCTGTATATTAAATATATTTATGTTTTTCAAGTATATCAAGCCTTCTAAAATACAAAATTTAGATAAGCACAGTAACAAAAGGTTAGTGGTACTGATATACTGTTCTGTTAGTTGCCAAATTGTC